GGTAAGCAGTGGTAGGCAGTGGTATCACAGAGCTGCTCAGACCAACATGTGCCTCAAGCATACTGGAAGCACTCTGTGACTGTGACTCTTTATGCTCAAATGGCTGGTTGAAAGATAATTATATGAAAATAAATATGCAATGTCAGCATGTATAAATTCTTTAAACAAAGTTTTTTTTTTAAATTTTCCACAGTGGCCTTCCTCTCCTGTGTTGTACATTAGGTGTCTAAACTGAATCACTTGCAAAACTGGGGTGGTATGGGTTTAATCGTGCCTGTATGCGATCGTTGTTCTGCCTTTTCATGGCCTATTAATCCGATTATTATCGTCCGTGCTAAAACGTCCGTACCCTTTTTTCACATTGAAAAGCCCATAAAACATAAATCACGCTGTAATGCTGTCCTCTGTTCTTTATATCCTTCACTTGAGGGAACAACTGCAGTGAAGTGGAACAAAAGAAACTGTAGGTTTCTTGCTGGTCCTGCTAGGGTGACCGCCTCACCCATGTCAGTGGGGACGCTATGAACTAGGACAGGATATGTAAGCTACCATTTTAACCATTTCCATAAGAAGGACCCGGATTTCACTTAAGCACTGAGTTTTTGCTGTGTGTTGATTGGTCAGTCTCCTATAATCATGCATGTATCGATAATGTCAATGTGAAACAGTTGGATGAGTCTTTCAGTCAAGGAAACAAAGCAGTAAAAGCACAAGAAGACATGAACTAATTAGCCAAGCACAGGGTCAGCTTAAAAGTAGCTTGTAAAACCTGATGTATCTCGTAGTGTCCCCCCCTGACGTGGATTAAGTGGTCACCCTACTTCCCGCTGAATCTACAAGTTGCAGACAGTATCCTGTAAACACATCCTCGGGATGTTACCTGCCATCGGCAAATTATGGAAATTGCTCCAGCTGTTTTTTTAAATACACTATTTGCAGCAAGATATTAAATCTGCATGCGTGAAAACAAGAGTCAGATAAAGAAGAGAAGAAGACGAAATCAAGGCAACAACAGCTAAACTGCGTGAGTCAGCAAATGAGTAACATCACACGAAAAACATAAAAAACGTTTTTTTACCATTTGTTATGCATCATTTGGTTTCTAAGTAAAAATGTACAATTTATGTAGGTCTACTGAAATTGCGGAATTTAAGCATAAATACTCCTTTGATGCAGTCCAACAGCCGTGCCATTGTGCAAAGACATTTACAATTGTACTATTAAAAAACAAACAGTTAAGTAATGATTAAATTCTACTGTTATGTCCCTACTGCTGTGCAAAACCAGAATCTGTAATCATTTTGTGGGTGTATTCATAGTAAACAACCATATCATTATATCAATCTACTCAGCTTTAAAAAAAATTGGGTGATTGACCTCAGGCATCTGTAGGCACAGCAAACCGGTTTCAGCATGAATGAGCAGGTATGGGCTGGAGAGGAGGCGCGTGCGATTGCCATCTTGAATCTCCCTGTTTCCTGTGTGTCTTGTGCTGACGCCTGGTCAGGACGCATGCAATCGTGTCACACTTGATCTGGGTTTATTTTGACCTTCTTGGGTTTTCTCTTCCTCCTTCAAACCTGAGGAACAATGTTATTTCTACTTCCTTCACCCGCCCATTTGCTCACACCCATAACCAGAGTACATCAGTGAATCAAATGGAAAAAAACTTTTAGCTTAAGTGCTCATGCTTCTGTTTATCTGCCCCATGCATCTGAGTGACACTGATAGTAAGTATGGCTGGTTTCAATAAAAAAAAAAAAAACACCCAAATTTTCCCACCCACTCAGCATTATGACTTCAAAAACTCACAGAGGTGGGAGTTTACTGTTCAATTCATTAGTAATTAAACCAGACAATGTACATAAAATTCATATTGTAGTTCTCTTGACTGCACTTGTGTTCTTCCTTTGGGAAATTTGTACCCAGCGCACTAACTTCTATAGATTATTCCAGCTCAGATTTAATCATTGAAAGTTTCCTTAGCACAGCTTTGTGTACGTAAGCCTGTGTGACAAGCCTTACGAAGATTAACTTTTTTTGAGATGATATACAAATGCTGTAAAACTGTACTTTACATATGTAGGTACATACAGAATTAAGTGGTGGTATTTCGACCAGCAGGTTAGAAACCTGTGTTTATGCCCTGAAGGATGTAGGTTCAAATCACTTTGTGAGAAGAGAACTCACTCACCACTGGGCCCTTGAGTAAAACCCTTAACCCCAGCTGCTGCAGAGTCACTGGCTGCCTCTGCTCTGTCACCCCAAGCTTTCCTCCATCTTTGGACAGAATCATCGACTAAATAAATAAAGGAAAATGACATCCACATGCAGCAGTCCAAATAAAACAGCGTATTTAAGCATCATAGGATAAGAAGAACACTCCCCTCCATCCTCCATAACCAGGGCGAGCCTGAAGCATATCCCAGAACGTACAGGGCATGGGGCAGGGGGCACCCTAGATGGGATGCCAATGAATTCCTATTAATACAATTCTGTTTTTAAAAAAATAAGCTTGACTGGTTTTCAGATATTTTATAGTGAAAATGCTCTTAAAAGTGGAGCCCTAAGATTTACACATTTCAGTCTCTCAACGGCTGCACCCATCCTGGAATCGGCAGGCGGTGACCCTGTGAATGTTTCTTAACAAGTTCTTTGCTAATTAGACTGCAGTTTCCTGCAACCCCCCCCCCCCCCCCCGCAGCACAGGGCACCGCAGAATCACCTCACACTGCAGCACAGCACGACAGGCACTGACAGGAAGTAGCTGGCGGAAGTCGCAGCAGGGGAAGTGAAACAGTTTGAAAACTGTTTCTCCACCTTCACTCGGAGTCCATTCACACAAGTGATGAACGTGCTTACGTGTTTCTGTATGCGCGGCCAAAAAATGTTATGCACATACAGTACTTTGCAAAAGTCTCAGGCAATCAAAGAAAAAGTTTAAAGGTATTTATCTGGTTAGGAAGTGTAGATTTCCTCAGGAAAAAAAAACAATTTAACATTAGAATGTATGCAAATTAACATAAATAACCCTAAACCTCTCTGGTCGTACTAGTTTCTTTTTATGTTTTTTACTTGTATGTTTATTTTATTTATATAATGCACAATGAATGGCCTCGGTGTATGATAATGTGCTGTATCAGTAACCCCGTCTCGCTTTGCCTAACCCGTCGCTCAGGGGGTACCCCCAGACATTCCATGCATTCATTAAATTTGACCACCAACTAACCATTAATTAATTAATTAGATTTGTTAAATGACTGAATGAAGTATTCACTAGCCTAACCTGCTGTGCACAGGGTGTATTTGATGGTCACTGCAAATGCTGGAGTGACTTTAGGGTTTGAGAAAGGTTTCAAAATAGCTAAGCTGACACACTTTGACAGACATAAAATCAGTTCTACAGCAACACAAAGCTCATTTAAACCTTTTCTTTGCATAAGACTTTTGTCAGGATCAGTCCCTGCCTTGTCCCACCCTGTCTGTCATTTCCCTGTTTGGCCAGCAGGTGTCACTGGCCATCCCGTGCTCTTTGGTCTCCCAAGGTTGAGTATCCCCACAGCCCTAGTGTTTTCCCCTGCTCCCTGGGCCAGCCTATCCCGGAAACTACGGGCACGAGACGGGGAACAACCCAGGACAGGGGGCCAGCCCATCGCAGGGCACACTCACACACACCATTCACTCACACATGCACACCTATGGGCAACTTAGTAACTCCAATTAGCCTCAGCATGTCTTTGGATTGTGGGGGGAAACCAGAGTACCCGGACGACATGGGGAGAACATGCAAACTCCACATACATGTAACCCAGGTGGAGACTCGAACCCTGTTCCCAGAATTGTGAGGCAACAGTGCACCACCATGCTGCCCCCTCAAATGAGATGCTTACAGTTAATCCAGTGGTGTGTTGTGTGAGTGCTTACTAAGAACGAAAGGAGAGCACACCTTACACCTATTATGAAGTGCTTACACTGCTTTCCTGTTACTTCTTGTATTGATTGTATAATTCTCTGATTTGTTTATAAGGTATTACATGGCCCTGCAGGACACTACTGATCCAGGAAGGCTTCTCTCGCGTAGCTGATCTGCAAAGCAGGCCAGTGCTTGTGCACCTTTAACCGTAACGCTGAGGCTACTTTTAGTTATTACATTCCAAACTGAGGATGTGAGTGGTGTTACATAAAAAAAAAATAAAGAGTGAGTATCAATATTCTTAAACGGAAACTAAAACCTCATCTATGTAGCCTGGCTTTTATGTAATGTTCCGTATTCATGGGCGTAAATTATGGGAGGGATGGGGGGGTTGTAGCCCCCCCCCCCCCAATAAATCAAAACCAGCTAATACAACCCCCCCCAATAATCATGCTTCCCCCGTAATGGGTGGAGACCTCAACCAGGGGCGCTGCTAAGGATTTTGGGCCCCATGAAAAGAATCTTGACAGGGCCCCCAACACAGCTGAGACTTTTTTCTCTGTGCCCCCTCTCAGTCATGGGTCCCGAGAATCGTCATCGTTTAACCCCCCTTTACAGCGCCCCTGACCTCAACCCCCACAATGTTCCAGCCAAAGACCCTTGTCCGTATTCATATTGTTTCAGTATTTGTGCCTATTTTATTTATTATTATTTGATTATTCTACTATTATTTCTTTTTACTATGCATAAATTCAGTTTATACATTCATTTTTAAATAATAATTTTGTGCATTTTAATCGCATTTGAGTTGTTTAATAAGTGATATATTAATAAAGTTTAATCGATTGCTTGAATGATCTGCTTCCTTAAAACATCCAGCCGAAATCAACGAGTCAAAGGAGACATCGGCATAAGTCACCCATAGACACCCAGACTGCCCAGCTTTGGCTGAGGGCTGAGCCAGTTCAACTAGCCGAAGAAGTTTATTTGCATCCAGCTTGGGCGCTGGTCTCCAGCCAGTTCAGCGCACACTGTAAACACCCCCGCCCAGTACAGGAAGCCACGCTGTCCTCAGAGGCTTTGATCAGCAATCATACCGCAGCAGAGGAGAGCAGTTGACAGCAGCCTGACAGCAGTTTGCACCGAAACGCCCCGAGCGCTCACATCCTGCCCCAGGCACCATGAGCAAGCGGAAGCTTAGTAAGTCTCCCAGCCGCCTGCCTCACTCTCGCGCCATTTGGGACCGACGGCGCCGATAGGGAGCATCAGGTCGTGATGGTTCCGGATTTTGTGAGAGAATCTGATTGCAGCCAGTAAAAGGTTTATTTGTCTCTGCAGGAAATTAACGTTTCACTTTAACGACTTCTGCTGTGCGGTTCAGCAGAAATCCGCACCAAGACGTTTAACATAATTAAGGTGATAGGTGCTTCAAATGTGAAATTGATATATTTGAGACTTAATTTTTATAAAATGAATTGAACATATTAGAATATATCTATTAAAAGATTTGAAGTACACATTTGTCAGCATATGAGTGTTTGAAACATCATAAGTTAATAAGACAGATCTGACAATGAACCGGCAGGCTTACTCTATTCTGCTAAAGTGACTTGAATATTAATAATAGTAATAATAATACATTTAATTTATATGGTGCCTTTCAAGATCTCAAAGATGCTTATATTGAATAAGGTAAACAGTTGAGAAAACATTTTGTAACACTTTCTGCTAAAGTGACTTTGTTCTTCTCCCCTTTGTACCTGGTATTGGGGTCGATTTCACGGCCGCACTTCTGAGACTGAAAACATGCAGAATGTGAGAGTAACTTGACCATGTGAAACCACAAGAAGCAAACTTTAGTTCATGTATTTTTATATTTGTTGTTCTGGAGGAAAATAGACTTTAGAAAGGGATGAAATATCGAAGTAAACAACAGCTATTACGAGCGCACCAGAAAATGCTTTCCCTATAGCGTTTCAGTCTCTGTGTCATATTTCTGTGTGATACGGGCAGACAGAGGGATGTTCGGTCTTGACCACACCCAACCAACCTTGGTACAGAACAGGGTTTTCAGTTTAAAGACTTATCAATATTACTTTATACTTATTTTTTATTAAGTCCAATGGCAAGGTGTCCAGCAATTTTCAGTTAACAATGTCTATGGTCTCAATTCTTACACAAGATTATGAACTTATTAAAAAAGATTATACCTAAGTTAACACATTTTACAGTGTAACGTAAATATTTTAAACCATACACTTTGTTAATATCTAAAACAAACGCATTTTGTAATAAAATTTACACTTTAAGATTTAGAACACATGTTATAAAGATAGTTTAGCTTGTTGGAGGCATTTATTTCTCGTAAAGATGTCTTTGTTTTCAGAACCAAAAGGTGGACCTTGGGTCCATAAATTTGTCACATGACTTAAACCTAAAATCATTTCTCGAGAGCACAGTAATTAGGAACATCTAGGAACAACCATTTTGAGATCTATTATTTTCCCTATTGTTTTTCCTGCATGTTATTCCATTATTAATATAGTTGTAGTAGTAGTGCTGTGTATGTCGAATTATTTGTAGTTTGGTTATGAATAAGTGATTCTGTTTAATTTGTGAACATCAGGAAGTAAACTTCAACTAAAACTTGTTAATTTCCAGCTCTTAGTTGTTTTCTAAAGATTAAAAGGTGGTACAGATGTTTTGAGATATGCCAGTATGCTGAAAGCTAAAGAGACTGGGAAATGGCTTACATGGATGACCCTCAGTAACATGACACTTAATGAAACTCAGCTTCTATAATGTTATAAGTAATCTGATGTATGAAAACTGTGTTTTGTATACGATGACTACATGCTTACGTAGTTTAGAACCAGATCTGTAGATATCTGGGATTTACAGATACCGTTTGACTTTAATGTCATGTGGTTACCCTAAACGGAAATGATAAATAGAGACGTACAAGAAAAAATACGGGTTAGCCTCTGTTTCTGGAGCAGCTGGGCTAAGGGCCCACCAGTGACGTGGTTAAGGTACCAGTCATGGGAATCGAGCCTATGACCTTCCAGATATGGGTGTGGATCCCTACCCTGCTGAGCTGAACACCGCTTTAATGTCTCGCTGTCAGTGGAAAATGATGTCTCATCCCGAATGTGCTTATGTTTTCAGGACAAATGAACAATTACACTGAAGAACAGACAGAGTATTGTTCCACACAACATTTGACTTATACTGACGTGCCTTTAAACGCATATGCGACCCATTTGCTTGTTCTTTCTTCCATGAAGAATCATTCTCCTCCATGAGAGAAATTAGTTAACAGTCCATCCATCCATCCATTCTCTGTAAACATTCATCCTTTTCAGGGACACAAGCGTCCTGAGCCCTTGGGCACAAAGCAGGGAACAAGCAAGGATGAGATATCAACATAAACCCATCACAGGGCGCAGTCACACACCACTTACACACCACTTACACACCACTCACACACCACTCACACACCACTCACACCTACAGGCACTTTGATAACCCCAGTTGACCTCAGTCAGAGGAAACTATGCAAACTGTATGCATGACTATATGCAAACTCCACACACGTGGAGCCATGGTGGAGACATGAACGCTGGCCTCAGAGGTGTGAGACGACAGTGCAAACCACAGTGCCACCCCAAGTAAAAAGGCATTTAATTAAAAAAATTGTCAGTGTTAATTGATTAAAACTCTAGTGTAAGACTTCATGCGATTCACAAGGTTCAAGGCTTTTTATTGTCATATATACATAGAACATTGAGATTCTGCTACTTGCAGATCGTAATGTAATAAATACAAGATAATGAATGTGAGACAGTAAGTCTAGAATAATGTTCCGCTGCTTTGTACCATGTGCTGTTTTCATACTGAAGAGCATCATTTTACAAACAGGAAAATCTGCTATCTGTAACATCGAAATTCAATGGTTTTTAGTACTAGCAGTTTGCAGCACACAAACCCACACTAATACCCCTTGCCATAGATTCAGTTCACAGGCTAGTCTTAAAAATATAACAGACCACAAAGTACCATTTAAAAACGACATGTCTAGGTTCACTGCTCTCATCCTTTGTGTCTCAACTCTTAGTCGTTCATGCAGCTTAAGATCAGATTTGGGAACTTCTGGACTATGACATTAACCTCAGACATCCCACCTTCCCCAGAAGTTCCTGGAGTCTCCTGCAAATTGGCAGAGCTCCCTGACGCCCGTGAATGATGCACAGTCTCTCAGAAAAAGTCTCGGCTAAAATTTGGGAGCAAGAAGTTTCTGCCACAACCCCTACAGGGCAGGCAAATTCTCAGATAAAGGCCCTAATGTCACTGTTCTCTCCTGCCATCAGATGGCCTCTTCATCTCCATGTCATCATCATCATCATCATCATCATCATATTGAATTATAGCGTTAATTTTAATTTTGTTACTTTTTGGCTATTTGTAGACCTACATCATTTATTCTACTGGCCTATGCAGCTACACTATTAATTGCCATTGTTTACCTACATTTAGGCATTATGCATATACAGTGATGAGTCCAGTTCCTGTTTTTCATTGCCCTGTGTTTTTGTACTTTCCACCACTTTGAATCCCTCTCCTTATCACTTGTCATCGGTATTGGTGCTTTTCCACTGGCATACGGGAACCGGGCCGCACCCTAGCCGAACTGTGAAGACCCTAGTTACAGCGCAGTTCCGGCTCGCTTTGGTTTAAATTTACACTGCAGAAGGGTCGGCTCGGTAAAGGCGTTGCCGGGTTTGGAGAGCGACAATGACTTAAAACCAAAGAGACGCTTATTTACTGTTCACACGGTGTACATCATGATTTACTGTGTGCTAATTTCCACTAGCACGTCTGTGGGAATCGCCGTGTTATGTCAACATCAAACGCTAGCGGAATTAGCATTCACTTGCATAAATTTGCATTACGAATCCATTCGTTTCAGCTGTTCTACAGTACTTAAAGTAAAAAAGTTTGGAAATTTTCAAGTTCCAAGTTATCAAGAGTACATGAATACATAGCGACGTGTGAAACTACTAATAAGAATAGCATATAGAATATGCCCTTTTTTCCTTCAGACAATCCATGCGCAGAACACCGGTATCTCTGTGCATTTCAACCCATCGGATAGTGACGCAACCAGCTCGGTTTGGTCACACTTTCAGCCCTGATAGTAAGCAGGGTCCTGTCAGCGCAGGTACAGCGCGGGTACAGCTCGGGTACAGCTCGGGTATGGCTTGGGTACAGCTCGGGTACAGCGCGGGTACGGCTCGGGTATGGCTTGGGTACAGCTCGGGTATGGCTTGGGTACAGCTCGGGTATGGCTTGGGTACAGCTCGGGTATGGCTTGGGTACAGCTCGGGTACAGCTCGGGTATGGCTTGGGTACAGCTCGGGTATGGCTTGAGTTCTTTACAATGGAAAACCAGCAGTTTGTGGTACGGCTCAGTTCTTGGTGGCGGCAATATGTTTCACCATGGTCCTGGGCTGCTGGTTGCCATTTTGGGCCCCATGAGAGCCTCCTATTGGGCCCCGAAGCCAGACACATCCGATTATGTTCCAGCGTTCCCCCTTTCGCGGCACCATGATCTCACCAGGATGTACCTGTATGTGGACGGTGCAATAAAATCTGCTTCAGGGCCTATTTACATTTTTCATATTTAATGTGCGTGTGACGCAGTGACTCTCTGGGTGTAACTGAAGGTATTTGAGAGTTAGCATGTTCTGCCAGTATCATGCTGTGGTGCTTCTGTTTTCTCCCACAGTCCAAAGACACACAGTTAGGCAAGGGAGTGTTTCTAAATTGTCCAGAGAGTTTGTGATGGACTGGCATCCTGTCCATACTTCCTGGGACAAACTGCAGGCCGCAGTCCGTGACCCTGCCCTGGCAAATCGGTTGGATGGAGGGACAAGATGGATGGGTGAATAGATGGGCTGGGATTAAAAAGCTCATCAAGCAGAGCATTTTGCTAACAGTGTAAAGGCAGGGGGCTTGAAGCTTAGGAAACAGATACATTGAAACCCTCCGTCTGGTGTAAGTTACTTCGGAGAAAAGTGTCAAATTAATGTGACATGCAGGTAAAAATTAGCCTTGGAGTTTTGGGGCCCCCACGGAAAATTTTACCAATGGGGGTGGGGAGTCCCCCAAGATGACTTGCGCCAAGCAAGGGGGGGGACAATGAATTCTGTGCACACGCCTCTGCTCTGGAAAATGGTGTTTATTGATCTACATTTTTAAATGTCACAAACTCTGCCCACACAGAAATGCCTTAAAGGTATAATAAAATATGTCAGTGCAAATGAACAGAAAAGCTGACTTTTAAAAATAATTTTGTGTACAAAAAATGCTAAATATTGTCTCTTTCCACAGGCTTTAAGTGGTTTGGGACCATTTCCCGCTTCTCGTTTCGTCGCTCGTCGGACAAATCGCAGGACGCATTAACCCTGAGGCATCATGGGAGTCTGTGTGAAACATCCACGGAGGAAAAGTCAGTCGACGACATGGACATGTGCCCGCAGAACGGCAGCTATGCCCGCTCCAGCGATAATTACACCCACATAGGCACCTTGCCTCGCTTCCTGCTGAGGAAGAACAAGGACTCCAAGAAGAACAAGGCAAAGTCAGAGCTGAGGAGGAACCAGAGCCAAAGGCAGCCGGCCGACTATGTTTGTGACTCGCCCTTACTCAGTGCCCTGTCAAGCCAGGGCGCTCCTACAGTAGAGCCGCTCTTCTCCACGTCCAGGCCAGACCAAGCTAATCCCACACAGAGTGCCCCTGCTGAGCCCACAGAATCCCCTTCACCAGTCAATCCAGCCGCCTCTCGATCAAACCCACCTGTTTCTCCTACTTCTTCAAGTCAACCAGCACTGGCAGAGAGTACGGAGGAATGCACCACAAACTGGGCCCTCACGAGCAGCACACCAAAATCAAACCTCAGCCCAACCCTGAAGTCTTCCTCTGAGTCCAGCGGTTTACCTAGGAAAGTGTCATGTGACTCTATCCTGAAGGAGGAGAGTCAGCAGGATGGGTCCCCCCCGCCGGCCCCCAGGCCCTTCAACAGGTAAGATACAGGAGCTGTGAACGCTGAGTTTTTGGATATACTCCATATTAGTGATACCTGCAGCAACTTCACAGATGTCGGGCTGCAAGGTCAACTTTTCAGATTTAATTTAATAGGGCAGCCAGGACCTGTGCTCTGTGTTCGGTGAGAAATGAGGTGATGAAAACCAGTGCAATTCTCCGCAGCTTGTAGTCTGAGCTCTGGCGCTAATGCAGGTGGTGGAAGGACAGCGGCCCTCCCCTCATTAAGCCTCCATTGTCTAGCCAACAGCTTTACGTTAACAAAGGAAATAAGCAGGATATTCAGTTATAAAATAAACATGAAGTGCATTAGGCTCCCTTGGAATGTCCCCAAAGCAGAGCGTAACTGATGCAGCAGGTAGTTCAAACAAGGACCGGAGTTGCAGGATGACGATTCAGTTTCTTCAGCCTGACGTCACAGCCTTTCAGAATTAGTTATCGCTGTATGCAGCAGCCAATAAATGACTGATGGGTCATCTCATTTTTTGCTGAATTTGGTCTGACGTCATTCTCACAAATACATTAGAAAAAAAAGCTTTATGGACTGCACGAAAATGTGCACTTTCTAGCCAATGGCGATTTTATTTTTCTGGGTAACGGGACTTGTATGTCTGATCTCTAATTATAACTACTTTACAGTACTGCACACGTAATACTGCATATCGTAATCGCTGACAGTATTTTACACCATAGAACAGTGGGAAAGCACGAGAAATTAAATTTCCTGTATACCTGCAGTAGCGAGTAGAGCTGATTATCTTTTCATATTCATATTGTTTAGTAACACATACAGCACTAATGCACCAGCTAGAGAATACGCGACGAGCCCCCCCAGCCTTCTCCAGCTCCCTCCGCGCCTTCCCCAGTTCCCCCCTCCCACACCTGCTCGTAAAATCCACGGGAAAAAGCAACTGGTGTCGCGGCCGTTAACAGTCGCCTGCAGATCAGAAAATTAAACGTGGCTTTTGCATGAAGAGGAGAGAACAGAAAGAGTAGCCTGGTGTTTAAAAGTCTGCGAACCATGGGTGTGAGGTATAGTGCTGTGTTCGTTTTCGTATTTATTATTGCATGCTGCAAAACATTTCAATAAGTAGGCTATAATAATTCTTTTTTTTCTCTTTATAGTAAATATCTTTTATTTTAAACATTTTTTATTTTGCTTTTGTTGTTGAAGCTTTTCTTAAAAAAAAAAACATACTTATAGCTCGCCCTTTCACATACACCATTAATATCCAGTAAGTATATATCTGCATTCTCAGAAGTATCATAGGCGGCGTAACAAAGAGACGCGTTCGTATTGTCACAAAAGTAGCAACGACAGTGCGACAGATTTGGGGGTTTTGTGAGAGAAGTCAGGTGTGTCTGCGCAAAATGTCGACCTGTTTCACAACCTGCGGAGATTACGGGGCATTTGCAGTTTCAGAAGTTTTTGCGTGATCTTGGTCCGTCCAGCTGGTGCGTGTCCTGGTTTTGGTGGCGGCGACATCCGGTCTCGCGCAGAACTGGAGTTTCCTCTCTCTTGGGTGTTTTTCTTTCTTTCTATCTATCTATCTATCTATCTATCTATCTATCTAATCTACTTGTTTTTTTGATCCGTCTCTTAGAAAATATACATATGTATGCACGTTGTTTTCCAGTTTTTTAAAGACCTATTTGCTCAGTGCCCGTTGAACGTGATTCAGAGCAAACGGATACAGTGTCAGAAAAAAATTCACTTAACATCAACGATGGGAACATTTTAGCCGTTTTTCAGCAGAACATTTTCAGCTGACCATCCTGTGATATAAAAAATCTTTCTTTGCTGTGTCGCGAAGCAAATTAATTCTTAGTGGATTAGGGTTTCAATTATTACCTAGTACAGTAGTTGTAAATTGTACTGTTCTGCATTAACCAAAGAAAAAACATAAACGTGTCCTGTCAGAAATATTTTTGATCATTTGAGTTGCCAGAATTTGTGCTGTTTGTGGAACATGACAACCTTAACCCCTACCCAGCCCCAATTAACTTTAACCCTATAAGTAAGCAAACAGAATACGAGACTTTTCTCATTTTTACTTTTTTGAACTTTGCATTCACAGATCTTTGTGGGGACCTGAAAAATGGCCCCCACAACATCAAAATAACTTGTTTTTATTACATTGTGGGGGACATTTGGTCATCACAAAGTAAACCTAATCACACACACACACACACACACACACACAGAAATACCATACAGAATTGTGATAAAGGTTGACAAAGCAGGGCACTCTCACTAATTTCGTTACATTAAAAGACTAGGCAGGAATTGGACTTGGGGCATGTTTGTTTGTGGGGGCAGTGAGGGCATCCACATAGCAGAGTGCACTCAGCATAACACAGCCAAGTGAAAACAAAACAGTCTATAGCATTTCCCCCCTTTCCAGAATGCTGTGCTCACACAATGTCCATGCTCCATGTCTGTGATAAGGTGCATATTGCTGATCATCATATTTGTCATGCTATCTAAGGGACGTTTTGGGGATATCAGGGTTTGAGTGGGAGTGTGTGTGTGTAATAGGAAGAAAGACTATGGGAAATCGTAGAGTTTGTGGAATGGTTTGTTTGACCTGGGTTTGAATGCTTGGTGATCAGCTGGAGATGTGAATTAGCTGCCATATTAGTTTTAAAAGTGTGGTAAGAAGCAGAGAGTTTCTTCTTGGGCTTTACAGTCAATTCCGTGAAGTCCCTTAATTAGATGCAGTTAGGTTTTGTGGTGGGGGGCTGCAGCCGGGGGGGACGGGGAAGAGGGGGGTTGTAGGTCTGCATGGCTGTGCAGAAGTTCATAGCTGCGCATTTAGCATTGTTTTGCTCTCTCTTTCCCTCATTCGAGAAGCCGTGGAAAGGATGGAATTTCTGACATCCTGTTTATGGGTTGAGCAGCCATTCTCCAGCATTCATCTCATGGACTCAAATATAAATACACTCGCATGTGCCTAATATTAAGGAAAAAACTGGTAATAAGCTCAACATAAACTATTATTCTATAATTATCAAGATACAGCTCATTAGAATACATTGTATACACAATAACTGAATTACAGTGATTTTTTTTTTTGCATGGTTCATAGTCATTATAATGATCATATTTCATTCATGTGTTTTATAGACACCTGGATCCCATGGAAAACTATGTGCAGGTAAGATTATTTCACTCTTTCTGCAATTGTCAAAAATGATGAGGATCATCGTGAAGTTGCGTATTGGTGCGTCTCTTTTGGATACGAGGGAACATTTCTCTCATCCTGTCATTTATGTTTGTGAGCGACCAATTAGCTTAAAGTGATACTGGAGGAGACCGGTCCTGATTGGACGGTACAATTAATTTGTTATGTCTTTGTTGATCATCCTGCTGGAGCAGTGGATTATGGACCATGGATCTCATTCTTCTGTTATGTTGAATGTCGGAAGTGAGGGTCGGTAACATGAAGCTAGTAAAGCTACATTTATAGCAGTAAATAATCTAATGTTTAAAGAGTTGAATTTTTAAGCAAAGGGGCGTAGGGAGCGCTTTAGCTGAAGGTGATTTTATGGGCTGTAAATAATTCTGAAGGTTTTGTGTGGCGCTTCAGGATATGTGATGCGGGAGACATGCGAAGCCCTCGTTCAGGGGGATTGTTTAAACGCCAGTGTCCATCTCCTTTGTTTTCAGGCATTGTAATGCCTTGGGTAAGAAAGCAGTTCACTGGGGAGCCCTTGGGAAATGGTCCTGGGGAGGGAAGATGTGACACGCAGGATATGGGGTGTCCAGCAGGGAGGGCAAAAACAAAAGGCCATGATTGACCTCATCTCTTTGTCCAGTTTCACACTGAGACAGGAAATGCTAAGAAAGGGGGGTTGGGAGAGGAGGGGGGAGGTTTGGTTGGTCAGTGGGGTGGGGGGCGGAGAGGAAGAGATGCCCTTCACACATGATAGATTGTCCCTTGGTTGGGGGTTCTGAGGCCGTGGTGCATGGGACGGGGTGTCCTTTGATGTGTTTGCCTGTCTGCACAGTGGTGGGCGCTTCTCTCTACAGCGCGAGCGAAGGTGCATGTCATTCCCATTGATGGCCACTTGGGGGCAAAAGGATGCTGAAGAGGAAGGTTTTCTCTGAAAAGACTGAACTGTTACTTCCTGCAGAAAATCAAGCTCCTGTTCGATGACTAATTATTGCCAGTGGCATTAGCAACTAGGTTAATAAAATATAAGGCCATAACTAGTTATTAATGAATTTTAGTGGGATCTTTGGAGAAGAGGCAATGCAGTTTTCTAAAATAATCATGTAGATCAAGGAAATCCACAATGTGGAGTTTGACTAAAACTGAATATATAGTCCACAAAATACTTTTTATTCATGTTTATACTGTTTCACTTACTATTTTATGTCACTCTGCTGTTTGCTTTCTTGAGCGTTTATTCAGTAAAACCTCCAGCATCAGTCAATAATTTCCAGTTTTTTCTATTTGCTTAAGGCTTTTAATTTGATTTTTCAGTTTCTCATGGAAAATCTCTGCACAATGCATCAGCTTGAATCAATGAAAATTATTATTAAATATATATATATATTTATATATATATATGCACACACACATATACAGATATATATATATATATATATATATATTTACATATACTGTATGCAAACATATATATATACATATATACATGCATACATGCAGACACATATATACACAGACACACATATATGTGTGTGCATGTATGTATGTATGTATGTATGTATGTATATATGTGTGTATACAGTATATGTAAATATATATTTCCTGGGTTGTTCCCAGTCCAGATCCCCCACGACCCTGCATAGGACAAGCGTTTTCAGAAAATGGATGGATGGATGGATGGATGGATGGATGCATGGATGGATATATCAGAATATATGTGAAAGTATTTGGCAGTGCATGTTGTCACTGCCTTAAAGTCCTGCAGTTTTGTAATGCATGATTATTCCACTAGATGCCGCCACATACCATCGTTATTCAGCATGGTGTCAGGGCCGGTTTTCACCTTGCGTGAGCCTGCTGCGCGTTGCCTCTCCTTGCTCACCAGCTGTCCTCTGCACAAGGCTCACACGTGCTTCAGACGCGTGGTCATGATGGTGCACATTGAGCTCTCCGTCTGCACTGTAAGTGTGAGGTGCTCACATGGAGCGTGACTCAGGAAGTGGAAATAAGCAGCTCTGCCTGACTCACCCCCTCCCTGTCTGGAACCTTCCCCATGCTCCTTATAGTGCCGTTTTCTCACTCGCCGATAGATTTAGCGCTTTTATTGTGCCGATATTCCTGCTTTAAGCATCAAACTACAATCATTCTCATCTACAATCATTGCGTTTAAAAATGACTTTAAAGGGCCAAAACACAGTTTGTGGGCCCCAAGCCAAAATCCGGGAAGCAGCGGCTGCCCCATGTTCACATCTGGGGGGGGCAGATTCTCTTGGACATAATTAGTGTGTGTCTTGCGTTTAGCCAATTGGCTGCTCAGCTGAGACTTGCCCATACTCAAGGGAGGGGGGATGTGTGCCGGGAGCCAGCTGGTGTTAAGGGGGGGGGGTGTTTTACTTCACACACAGATACACACCGCACACACTCCCCACTTACAAATGCTTGGCAGTCTGTGCTGGAAGCACATTCTGCATTTATGATCTAGAAATTGGATTGTTGCAGAAACCCACATTGATTGGGGCTAAAATTGACTATGCTGGAGCAGGAAATACACCTTATTTGCTTTAATATATCTCGATTAAATTGACTCATAATATCTGAGCAACTGGCCGGTCAGTCATCTGACAGTTTATCATGGATGATTTACCGCCGCGTCCCATTCATGAAGCCTTTTTTTTTTCCTCGGGGTTCATGCCAGTATTGTGCTGAGTCGCCCGCTTTAATCATCACACCGCCGTGCGCCGCCCATTAAGGTACGAGGACAGAGCTAATAGCTGGCAGGCAGATCGGTATTAAGGGCTAATGTGCGGCTTTACACAAAACACAAAGGCCGACGAGGGCCTTTCCGACACACGCCGTGAGATTTGCCCCAAAACGATCATTTATCCCCTGCACTGGTGCCCTGTGGCCGTAGCCGTTCTGATCTGACCGTGAGTTTCCAATCCGCCTCTAAGACACTTTTGGAGTAATTAATTTTTAATTATAGTCAGAAAGAGAGCGGAGGGAGAGACTGGGACTGTGTGTGAGTGTGGCGGGGGGGTCGTTGGGGGCGGGGGAGGGACAGTGGGGGGGGATTGCCGTGACGATGGGCAGTTGGGGCGGGGGGGGGGAATGGGTAGAAATGATGAAGAGATGTCAGTGCAGGAAAGAGGGGGTGATAGATTAGGGGGGGGGAGCATGTCAGAAGGAAAACAGGAGATGAGGGATGGGTGTAGCTGCAAGGTCAGCACCTGGGGTGATTCTAGCATCTTTTAAGGCGGGGGCCATAAGAGGGGCCATAATTCATACAGAGGGGCCAGCCTTATGATAAGCCAATGATATGTTTTGAATTGGTGATTGACGTCAGAGTGGGCACACCAGGGACCAATCAGCTTTCAGCTGAGTGCACATGTGCGGTACTATAGCATAGGGACAATGTGTCAAATATCAGATAGGGCATGGAGATGTTCCATCCATGGGTGATGGTTTATGTCCAGGGAGGAGTTTGGACTTCCCCCATCTCACAGACCGTCATCTGTAGAGTGACATCAGGCATCAGGAAGCTCCTTTCATTCTACAAGCAACGTGTAGATGCTGTGGAAGGAAATGTCATGGTGTCAATTTCCTTCACGTCCGATAAGCCTCAGATCAGAGGCTGACGAGTCTCTAATGGGAATGGGGGAATACCCATCCTGGCCGGGAACTTTCGGGTCCCTCTCTGGCTCCCGAGCTCCGCCCACGCGCTGAGAGTGGCTTGCCGATGGTCTCGCAGCTTCCAGTCTGTTGCCATGGCAAAGGCCTGCTTGAAGAGAGGTGATGTCACTCGGTGCTGTGGGGGATGAGGCCCCACCCTGCGGCACCTTCTGTGTGTATATTGTGGGAGGGGGCACAGGGGCAGCACCATGGCCCTAACCTGCCTGGGGAACCTTCGCCTTTCCTTGCAGACTTGCTGCATATTCAGTGCCTCTGAATTGACTGAGACTGAATTTGTGCACACTTTTGTTTCCCTCTCTCTCTCTTTCTCCCTCTCTCTCTTTCTCTCTCTCTCTCTCTCTCTCTCACACACACACACTCACACACACACTCTCTCCCCTTCATGCTTCATTGCCGTGCGTGTGAATGTGGGCCCCCCCCTCCCCCGACCCCCGCATAGGACTCCTTTCACGGCAGAATAAAAGACAGATTTCTTTGAGAAGGTGCTGAAACTATGTGGCACACCTCCTCCCCCTCCCTAGCCTGCCCCCCCCCCTTTTCCCTCCCCCTCTCCTTCGTCCCGTATTGTCTGTTGCCGGCGATGCTGCGAGCTTGGTGGGGGTGGGTGGGGTCTGCCTGCATTCATCGGTGCTCCCCCAGTGCCTGCTACCCAACCCCCCGCCCTCTCTCCTTCCTTTCATCTGAAAAGAGATGAGGTAATCTCAGGCAGCTTCACGAGGCGTAGCATAGTGGGAGGGAGTGAGCGAACGGGAGAGAGAGGGAGAGAGAGAAGGAGAGAGGGAGGTAGAGGGCGGGACTGCGGGTTAGAGTGTGCGATGACAGCGGAGGCAGCGTGAGCCGAGCAGCGGCGGCAGCAACAGCAGCAGCGCAGCACCAGCGGCCGCAGCCTCTCAGGGATGAACCGGGCGCGTTAGCGGGACGCAGCAGCACCGACAGAGAGCAGCCCACACCGCCCCCTGAGGGCCGCGCGGAGCCATGACGGAGAGATGCAGTCTGTGGAGCGCCCTGTCCGCCGCCGCCTGCTGCTTCTACAGGGGCTCCTTTATGCAGGTGCAGGTGAGAGAGGAGCCTGGGCACAGAGCTGGGGGGGGGGGCGTGGAGGGTGCTGTGGGTGCTGTGCCCCCCAAGCGGGACTGTGCTGTCCAGCGGCTGCAGCCGGGCGGGGAATGCTACACCTGTCATGTCAGGATCGTCCCCGGGTTGTAGATTGTAAAGTGCAGTTCGCGGCTGCAGGAAATCAAAGCTGCCTTGATTGCTCAGCTCCGAGTTCGAGTTTTTAGAAGAAATAGGCT